TGCACATTTAGAGATAGTCTTCAATCCCCGGCAACTCAAATCCACAGATTACTCTCTAACTCATCGAAGGTTTTTTAAAAGAAAGAAAATATAAATCGCACGTGTCTAATATGGTTAATGTCGTAATCATTGCCTGCACAGATATAGAGATAGTCTCTTTTGCCGACTCTAGAACATGCAACATATAATTGTGCCATTATAGTGGTCGTTGAATTGAAATATTAGGACTGAAAATGGTTATTTGGTTAACACATGCTAAAGCTGTTTGTATTTTTTTAAAGCTTACTACTGTACTTGCAAATAATAACACAAACACACACACACACACACACACACACACACACACAAACACACAACAAAATGATAATAGCTGAGGTAGCTTTAGTGAAATAGAACAAATTAAGAAATGAAAACTTAAAAATCATGTGATAATCTCTGTAAGCTAACAATTTCTGTCATTACCTTTTCCCTTCCCTCCTCCACCGACAACTGCTCTCTTCCTCTCCGAAGGATTAGAAAATTATCACCTGACGATATTTTTTGTCACTGATCATGACGTCCCTGTCCATCCGACTAAAATGGGGAGCAGCAATTGTAATGAGAAGTAAATGCCGCCTGAGTAATATTTACAACACCATCCTTAAAGTACCAGTACTATTTCCACTACCAACGCCACCAACACATTAATGAACTAATGTCACTACTATCTGTTTTACCATCGGAGTAGACAGGGGGTCGTAAGCTAGGGGATTTGTCGCCGCATTGCTAATGCTTTCGCCACGTACTGGTCATGTTAGGATGTGTAATTCCCCAACCCCCCGACAAAAAAATTAATTCACATTACCGGACAAACCCGTGTCTCCCGCATGACAGCCCTATGGTGTAACCGGCCAACTACAACTACTACTGCTGCTGTTACTATGAGGGATGAGGCCGTTACTGTGACATAAGGCTCTCTCAGTTAACAGTTTGAAACCCCTCCCCCACCCCAACCCCAATTCACTGATAACTCTTTTCCTCATCGAAGTAGTTAAGGAAAAGAAGTAAAAAGAAACAAAAACAGGTAATATACACCATAATTACGAAATAAACGCTATGGTAAACGATACATCTTACTTTCAACGCAATGTCAGACAAAAAAATTAAATCAAAATGAAAAAAAATAAAAATCTGTGAAAATTCAGCATAAATATGCAATCGGAAACTTTGAAATAAAATCCTAGTATGCTAAATGGTCAAATTTGTCAACTGGTTTACCCACATAACTGCACATTTTTTAAAAAGTAATTAGGGCCGCATGGCTAGTGCTGTCACCACGACTGTACAGATGAGATGTTTATTTTACCCCCGGTAAAAAAAATGAAAATGGTGTACTGGGATTCGAACCCTGGTTTTCAGACCGGAAGCCCAGCGTTCGAGCCATTGAGCCAATCAAGTGCTCCTCCGTGAATGGCAACAAAAACGATAAAGATTATTTGAGATGTGTGATCTTAACATAACTCAGAACCGAAGGCAAATGTTTTCTTATAGATAGATATCTCAGAAATAACTTCAAGTATTAATGAAATGGCACAACAATAAAAACCGCACGTATCTAACTTGTTTCATGCCGCAGTTAATGTCTGCGAAGACATAGAGATATTCTTTGATGACCCCCCCCCCCCCCCCCCCCCCTTTTTTAAATCCACCAAGTACTCTCTAACTCACCGAAGGTTGTTTGAAAAAAAAAAAGAAAATAGAAATCGTGCCTAATATGGCTGAGCAGATATAGAGTTAGTCTGTTTTTCTGTACGTATCTTGCCGGCGGAGAGTGAAAGTCGTGCGTCCCGACTACTGCGCATACATATTTACGAACGTGGTTTTAAATGTCACTAAAATTGAAATATTAGTTTCGAAAAGTTAACTAACAAATATCGCCACATATTTGAAACCAAGTCAGGTAGCATTCCGGTATCAACCCAAACATATCCTGAAAATTTCAGCTAAATCGGTTCAGCAGTTTCCAAGTCTATAGGTGACAAACAAACAAACGATCATTGATTTTTAGAGATATATTAGATAGATGGAAGATATGTGGGCTAAAGGGGGGGGGGCGCTAATAATTTCTTTGTTTCGGAGCTCCTGGTAATGTAATTGTAAGGCAATAGACTCTGCGCACTCCAGACTGCCTGCAATTCATTTCTAATGCCCTCTGCCTCTCCTCCAGACTATCAATTTCTGTATGGTATCATTCCATTTATATCGCTGTCTAATTCTTGCTAGTTTGCTTTCAACTTTCATTACGGTGTGCTTTTAAAAAGGGTGTAATGTTTTCTAATGTGGCCGAAAATATCCATTGTCTCTGTATTTAATTCAACTCCCCTCACCCCTTTTCCCCCCATGAAATTTAACCTATTCTACTGTAAGTGCAGATCCCCGAAGATCCCCGTCATTTGGATATTCTCCGCTCTGATCCGGACACCAAGATTATCTTTAGTGAGAAACCTAGATTAGTTTATAGACGAGACCGCAACCTTAAAGACATACTTGTCCGAAGCCGACTCCCACCGATCCACACAGCACTTCCTTTTGGGACTACTGAATGCTCACGCAGCACGTGCAAGACATGCCCTTTCGTTGTCCAGACTTCTTCCGTCAGTTTCCCTAATGGTTCTTTCCAAATTAGGGAACCTTTTACTTGCGAATCCCGCAACGTAATTTATGCAATTATCTGCAAACGATGCAGCAAGGCATACATTGGGGAAACTGGCAGGAAGCTAGCTGATCGTTTCCGGGAACACCTCTCTGTTATGGACAAGAAGACACTTAAACCAATCCTTCTCTATTTTAATAGCTCTGACCACCTCTCCGTTATTGACAAGAAGACACTTAAACCAATCCCTCTCTATTTTAATAGCTCTGACCACGGGGGTAAAGATGATATATCTGTCACAGCATTAAAATCTTGCTCTGGTGATCATACTCGCTTTAGAAAATCGCCTCATCCACAGCCTAGGCGTTCTTAGTCCAGGTGGTTTCAATATCCAACATACCTTCACCTAAATAGTTCTACTCTTATCACAATTTAAATGTTAATTATTTTCTTTTACTGTATTTTATTTTATATTATTACTTTATTCTATTTGTTATCAGTATCATTTATGTATCACTAACATTTGTATTTATTTTATTCCCAGTATTATATTATATATTACAAATACTACTTTTTTTTTTATTGTGACTGTATTTTTAAACCATCGTTTATTTTATTTTATTTCATTTATTCCACATCACATTTTTTTTTAACGTTGCTCACGTCACCCTTTAGAGATCTACATACTCTCCTCTCCTCGTTACGTTTGTGTAGTTCCCTTATGTTTAAAAAAGACTGCCCGGCTGAAACGTTACGTTGTTTTGTTTTGTGCACGTTTTTCTGCTTTCCCATTTTGTTAGGCTTTTTAGTCAAATTTCTCTAGATATCTGTGCACTACATGTATGATTTAACGTATCACAATTCTCATTGTTAATGTTTTATCTCTCTAGATGTCAATAATATTTAATTGGAGACAATTTTCGCCTTTATGATTCTCATTTCAGTTTGTTTTTTACTTTTGCAATCAACTCTTGTTATATATGTCTAAAATAGGACTGATTGACTGACTTTCTACCCCACCAGGACATTACACAAGCGACAAACACCCGATGACACAAAGTGCCACCATGTGGGTGAGGATCGCAGTGGAGTTGTCCCAAAACCCGCGTTCTGACAATTGGCCATATTTATGGCCTGCCTATATTGCGGCCCGTGGCAAAAGCCAGGGTGGGGCTTCAAATAACATAAAATTTCGTCCTAAAAAGGACGAAACTGGATACATAACCTCTAAAATAGGAGAAACTTGTTGCTTGATCTAGCATCTCTCCGTTCACTGCCATGTTCACTATTGGCTGCTCCTTCCTATTCTTAATTATCACAGGTTTATGTTTTTAAAAATATAATTCACTTAATCAATGTCAAGCACTTCATCTACATGCTTGTTCGTCTATGTCTCGTAACTGCTGCTCACTTTCTGCTAGTAACATGTTATCATTAGCATTAATTATTCTTTTTTTTTTTCTTTGATTTCTACGCCTGGTAATTTTCAGTCTTGCCTTTTATTTGTTAAAACTGACTTAACTTAACCGACTTAGCGGACTGCACTTGCCCTACCCTCAATTCTCAAATTCAAGGGCCACCATGCCGGAACCACAACAGTGGTCAATACAGGCTGTGGTGGCAGTTTTGACAGTGGCTACAATTTGTAGAGGTGCAGATTCTGAAAATGTTTAGTCATTTAGTTAATATTGTGTAAAACGAAACAAATATTGTAAAAATTCTACTTTTACACAAATTTGATGAAATCCTAAACAAAACATTTTTTTTTGCGGAAGCGGCGGAGATGTGGTTTCTATACGCGAATGATTAGTGCACCCTGAACAGATTCAAAGAGTAATGATGATGTCTTAAAAGAAACTGACTCACTAAGAAAATCTGCTTGTTCACATCAGGAGACAATCAACATCCTTTGGTCAGGTCATGAGAAGGAGAACACTGGGGAAAAGTTCGAGGGAAAAGGAAGCAGGGGGAGACAGAAATGGAAGATAGTTGACAGTTTGTGTAAGAAGTGACTGAAAGTACACGAGACACAAGATTGATGATAGACATGATTGACTACCGACGCTAACAAGTATTGACTATATATATAAAAGAAGAATCAAAATCACCCCCTCCCACCCTCCCCCACAGCGAAATCAAGCAAACATTGTCTAGTATATAGTTTTTAACACAATTAGTTACAATCTGAATGGGTAATCATTGTATTTAATTTGTTGCAGATTTTCAGTATTCACCAGCTAAAAACTGAAGCTGACGAGTCCACCTGCGCCTTTCTAAACAAGGACCTAATGTGAGAGGCACCGTCTTCTGTGCTTACACACTGAGTTGCTTGTGTTGCCCTGTGATTGCCTCATAGCATTCCTTTGCCATGGGTGTGGCTAGGGACTCCAAGGCACCAACTGTGTCCATTGAAACAGTTTTGGTTGTTAGGCCAATCAAGGTAACAATCAGATAACTACATTGGCAGTCAGCTAAACAGTCCTAAACAGTCAGACAGCTAAACAGTCAGTCAGCTAAACAATCAGACAGCTAAACAGTCAGTCAGCTAAACAGTCAGACAGCTAAACAATCAGACAGCTAAACAATCAGACAGCTAAACAGCCAGTCAGCTAAACAGTCAGATAGCTAAACAGTCAGTCAGCTGAACAGTCAGACAGCAAAACAGTCAGTCAGCTAAACAGACAGACAGCTAAACAGTCAGTCAGCTAAACAGTCAAACAGCTAAACAATCAGACAGCCAAACAATCAGACAGCTAAACAATCAGACAGCTAAACATTCCGACAGCTAAACAATCAGACAGCCAAACAATCAGAGAGCTAAACAATCAGACAGCTAAACATTCCGACAGCTAAACAGTCAGATAGCTAAACAGTCAGATAGCTAAACAGTCAGACAGCTATACAGTCAGACAGCTAAACAATCAGACAGCCAAACAGCCAGTCAGCTAAACAGTCAGATAGCTTAACAGTCAGACAGCTAAACAGTCAGATAGCTAAACAGTCAGACAGCTAAACAGTCAGACAGCTATACAGTCAGACAGCTAAACAGTCATATAGCTAAACAGTCAGACAGCTAAACAATCACACAGCTGAAAAGCCAGTCAGCTAAACAGTCAGATAGCTAAACAGTCAGACAACTAAACAGTCAGACAGCTAAACAGTCAGTCAGCTAAACAGTCAGTCAGCTAAACTGTCAGTCAGCTAAACAATCAGACAGCTAAACAGTCAGTCAGCTAAACAATCAGACAGCTAAACAGTCAGTCAGCTAAACAGTCAGACAGCTAAACAATCAGACAGCTAAACAATCAGACAGCTAAACAGCCAGTCAGCTAAACAGTCAGATAGCTAAACAGTCAGTCAGCTAAACAGTCAGACAGCTAAACAGTCAGTCAGCTAAACAGTCAGTCAGCTAAACAGTCAAACAGCTAAACAATCAGACAGCCAAACAATCAGACAACTAAACAATCAGACAGCTAAACATTCCGAAGCTAAACAATCAGACAGCTAAACAGTCAGACAGATAAACAGTCAGATAGCTAAACAGTCAGACAGCTATACAGTCAGACAGCTAAACAATCACACAGCTAAACAGCCACGTCAGCTAAACAGTCAGACAGATAAACAGTCAGATAGCTAAACAGTCAGACAGCTAAACAATCAGACAGCTAAACAGCCAGTCAGCTAAACAGTCAGATAGCTTAACAGTCAGACAGCTAAACAGTCAGATAGCTAAACAGTCAGACAGCTAAACAGTCAGACAGCTATACAGTCAGACAGCTAAACAGTCAGATAGCTAAACAGTCAGACAGCTAAACAATCACACAGCTAAACAGCCAGTCAGCTAAACAGTCAGATAGCTAAACAGTCAGACAGCTAAACAGTCAGACAGCTATACAGTCAGGCAGCTAAACAGTCAGACAGCTAAACAATCAGACAGCTAAACAATCAGACAGCTAAACAGCCAGTCAGCTAAACAGTCAGATAGCTAAACAGTCAGACAGCTAAACAGTCAGATAGCTTAACAGTCAGACAGCTAAACAGTCAGACAGCTAAACAGCCAGTCAGCTAAACAGTCAGACAGCTAAACAGCCAGTCAGCTAAACAGTCAGATAGCTAAACAGTCAGACAGCTAAACAGCCAGTCAGCTAAACAGTCAGATAGCTTAACAGTCAGACAGCTAAACAGTCAGATAGCTTAACAGTCAGACAGCTAAACAGTCAGACAGCTAAACAGTCAGTGAGACAGCTAAACAGTCAAAAAGCTAATTAGTCAGACAGCTAAACAATCAGAAAGCTAAACAGTCATACAATTAGACAAATAAATGTTAAGTTAAAGC